GTTATGTGGTATGTCACAAGAGAGGAACCAATCAAAACACTTGTTGTTGCTGGGGTTTTAATATGTGAATAATAGTAAAGACCACACAGACTTGTTTTGTCTTACTAGCTCTGCTTGAGTCTGTGGACACGCCATGATGAATAATAAATTTGTCACGTACCTCAAGACTTTATTTGAAACACCTTAAGAAGTTTAATAAATCCAATAAAACTCTATCACAACCCAGACCAGGTTTTTGCTCATGCAGATTAAATTTCTGCTTCCGTTTTTCACATATCCTTTTTCTTTTAGGTTCTACTTGAGTTTCTTGGATTGCAGCTGTGAATTATTATTTATTTTATCACTCTTTCTACTTTCATGGATTTTTGCTTTTGTTTCTATGCAGACTTTTTGGCCTGAAAGACATCATCATACCTGGAAACTGCTCTGCACCCGATGACTTCAACGTTAATGCCGATCATACGTGGCCTGTTTTCGTCAACCCGGGAATACTTCTCTTCCTCTATCTAACTGTGGCTGCCGTCCTCAAAACAGGATTCCACGCAACACCTAGCAATGTATTTTTATCTATCAGTACTGAATGTGTCAACAGCTGTTACTTGTGTTTTAGGATTTTATCAGGTTAAATATGGAAAAAAAAAACATGTTTTGTTTTTTCATTTTCAGACTGAGCAGCATCGTGAAAAAAGAGAAGAGCCAGTGGAAGAACTGGTAGAGTTAAGAACATGGAATGAACAAAGAGACAGTTGTCAGGAAGACACACAGGTAGATGTATTTCTGGCTCAGTTAATCAATATTAATTATACTTTATAGTTACTAGCTAATTATTAGTTTTTCATTTTCTCATTAGATTAGATTTCCTGTAGCCAGATTCAACCAGATTCAGTGAACTGAATCTACAGATCCAGATGTATAACCTTTCCAAGTGGGTTATGACTTGGGTTCATTACAAAAAGATAAAAATAAAAGTACAAAACTGTAAAAGATGCTGGCTTAGCTGTGCTCTATCTGGCCTCCCAATACAGGTCAGCTGCGTCTTAAGGCTGAGTTATAGTTGCACTTTGGAGCTCGCACACCCTCGCCGGCAGTGGAGGTGTTTATACTTGGCGCTTACATTGCTGTAGATTTCTCCAAAAGGACACGTGAAGGTACACATTATAACTTGTGAAAATGTGTAAGTAGGAGAGCAAAAAAATTACAAAAATTCGGAGGTGCAAGACCATGTGCCAGGACACCGCACGGAGCCAACGCACATGGGTGGCGTGATTGCCTCACTAGCTGCATTTCCATTGACCATGAAAATGTGCAAATTAGAATTCCGAAAATAAATTTGCTCAATGGAAACACGTCAATTTCGCAAAAAGTTACGTTTTTCGACAATATGTTTTTGCGCTAGGATGAGGTGGTTTTTCGGCCGTATCAAAATTGGTGCATTTCGCAAAACTGCAATGGAAACACTTTTTTCACATCTCAGGAGTCACGTGATCAAGACCCGGCTGTTTCTACTGGCGAAAAAGATGATGAAGAAGAAGATAACATGAAGTAAAAGTAGTAATAAACTCACCGAAGTAGTAAAAGCAAGTAGTAAACTCACCATCTACAATTTCCCAAAAATGCCGCATACATAGCTGCTCCTAAGTGTAAGGGGCTTGTCGCTGGAAAGCCTCGATAAGACACCGACGTCTCCTCTGATGGCTGATGATGAGCGCTAGTGTCATGGTAGCAATATGCTATGTGTTTACATCCATTGCCGCCATGTTTGTAATGACATCGCGAGAACAAACGTATTCACGTGTGACTTTAATAGCATTTCTTACTTAATGGAAACACTGCAATTGCGAAACTGTTTTTCAACATTAACAGATTATCGACAAAGTTTTGCGCACATTTGCAATGGAAACGCAGCTACGGTTGGCGCGCATCCCCTTGCACCTGGCGCAGCGCATCAAATATTAGCCTAGCTTCAGAGTCCACAACCAAGGACTGCAGCTCCTTTAATCTCAGGTGTCCACCTGGGGTTACTGCCACAACAACCACCTTAATTTAGCAGTTCTGTAATCGATCTGCAAGGCCAGCCGAGAACATTTTTCGTTGAAAATCCCTGTCCCTTTGCCTCCTTCAGGATGCAGGAAACGTTTTGTTTGAGACGAGAAGTGAAGAACTCCTGATCTGGGTCTTTTGCCAGATCTCCCTGCCTAGGAGTACTGTGTCTATCCTGCGCCTTCAACAGCCACCTGATCTGTCTTATGATCAGGTGGTAATCCATTAACAGTTGACAGCTCAGCTCCTCTCCACACATGAGTGTCCAAGACATATGGCTTCAGATCTGATGACAAGAAACTGTTAATTGACCCAACGGTACCGGGACTCAGTGTCCTGGTTCTGTGTGCACCTCTGAACAACCTTAGGGTCACACATTGTGTTTGTTTTGGACAAACCACAGTGCAGAGGTCCAACAACAACACACCCCCTGGTTTTCCTCCCAGTCACACCTCTTCACATTATATGTCCTCTCCTGTRTGGGTGTTGAAGTCTCCCAGTAGGACTATGGTGTCCCCAGCTGGAGCATCTTTGGAATCAAGGCTGGGGATTCACAAAGGTGCACACAAAAGTCTAAGACCTTTTCCCGACCCAAAGACATAGGGAAGTCATCCTTTTGTTCACCAGTGAACAGCTGGTCAACAAAGTAAAGGGGAGTCCAATGTTCGCTTACTCTCACTTTTCTAGAACCTGAACCTAAAAAGCTGATTAAAACAGATCAAATCACCTCTGTGATTTGTAGACATTTATGCCATAACCCCTAATAAAATAAGTCAGCAACGCAATATTTCCCAAAAGGGAAGATTCAGCTACATGTAATATGTTTGTATGGAACAGGTTTTCTTAGATTTGGAAGAAAAATGTTGGATAAAGTATTGACTTGTTTATGTTTTTCTAGAACACCCTTGTGTCCATGGACTCAGAAATTCAAGGAGAAAATGTGGCTCAAGAAAGTCCACCAGAAACAGGTACAAGACAGTTGTTTTATTCAAATTCAGTAATAGCATTTGTCACTAATGTAGAGTGTATGAATCTGTTGGACTCGAATGCAGATCAAGTCTCTAGAAACTGGCAGACCAAAAGAAACAGGAACCTTTGATTTTAACTAAGAAACTGAACATAAATCCACAAACATGAGCAAAACAACAGAACTCAGGAGCTAAAAGATGAAGATCTGAGACAAAAAACCCTGAAGGTACACACACTGTGGAGAATAATCCCAAAATAAGATCCAGTGGGGTGATTGGAAACAGAAACTAGGTGCAAGTTTGAGACAGGAAGTCCCTTCGAAAATTTAAGAAGTTAAATTTTAACAAAATATGATAAGAACAAGCAACTAGAACTCAAGAATATAAACCATGAATACAGATAATCACAATGGGCCTCATGCAAGAACATATTCGTATTCTTATCCTAAATTTCTCTTACTTTTGTTCGTACAAAGGGTTCGTACGAACATGTCACGCCAGATTCAACAAACTCTTATCTTCAGGAAAGGTGTGTAAATGAGCTGTGTAAACATGATGAACTCCACCTGTTCGTATCCAGCTGCTCGTGCACGAGGAGAGGTTATTTACATAATTACCACCCCAAAAACACCATATAAGGATATGTTTCCTGCCCCACATACCAGGAAGTGTCCATTCATAAATGACATTGCAAAGTAAAAAAGAAGAACTTTACGAGTTCGGAGATTGTTGTCCTGCTCTCCGAGATTAAGAAAAGAAAATCTGTTCTCTTTAGCGGTGTCATGTGGAATTACAGGAGCTGCTTAAAGGAATGAAATGTGCTGTTAATGTCGTGTCTCCTGTGGGTCGTTACAGTCACAGAAATAAAAATCTAAATCATATTTATCTCTCTCT